ACCTTGGGAACATGGATTTAGAGCAATTGCAGAAGGTCTTACGCAATTGTGTGGATGGTAAAAAGTATTTACTCATTTTAGATGACGTGTGGAATGAAGATAGTCGAAAATGGCAAGACCTGAAACAATTGTTAGTGGGAGGAGCCAGCGGAAGCAAAATTGTGATCACCACTCGCAGTAACCAAGTCGGAAAGATTGTCGGCACAATTCCTCCACACAATTTGAAAGGACTTTCTTATGACCAATCTTTATCTTTGTTTCTCAAATTTGCATTCAAGAGAGGAGAAGAGAAACAACATCCCAACCTTGTAAAAATTGGGGAAGATATTGTTAGAAAATGCAAAGGGGTTCCTTTGGTTGTGAAGACATTGGGGAGTTTACTTTTCTCCAAAATTTCGGAACATGAGTGGAAGCTCGTGAAAGATAGTGAGATGTGGGAATTAATGGAAAAAGAAAATGAAATATTTTCTGTTTTAAAACTAAGTTATGATCAACTACCTCCTCCTTTGAAGCAATGTTTTGCTTACTGTTCACTCTTTCCAAAGGATTATAGATTTAATGAAGTAGAGACAGTCCAATTTTGGTTGGCTCATGGTCTTATTCAGACCTCCAAAAAAAATGAAGATCTGGAGGATATTGGGAGGCAGTATTTGAACGATCTAGTGTCAAGGTGTTTTTTCCAAGATTACGAGGAAGAACTTATTTTTATTAATTTTAAAATGCATGATCTTTTACATGATCTTGCATTATTAATAGCAAAGAATGAGTGTTCTACAGTTAGTTCTTCCAAGCAAGATATTGCCCAAGGAGTTCGACATTTGTGCCTTACTAACTGTGATTCTCCTGAAGAAAGCGACTTTCAATTACTTAATAAAGTAGGACATGTGCGCTCATTTAGGTTTACAGATACGGATATAGGTCCTAGCAACAAATCCTTTATTGAAACATGCCTCAAGAGGTTCCAACATTTGCGGTTGCTTGATCTACAAGGATCTAATCTTGAGGTATTGCCCAGAAGGATTGGAAATTTGAAGCATTTAAGGTATGTTGACCTATCCGGCAATCACTTCATCACAAAACTTCCTAATTCCATCTGTAAGTTGCAAAATTTGCAAACTCTTTATCTTGTTGGTTGTGACGGAATTGAAGAGTTGCCTAGAGATATGAGATACCTAATCAGTCTCAGATGTTTATCATTAACTACAAAACAAAAAGTCTTGCGTGGATTAGAACACTT